TCTCTGACTCGTCATCACCGGACGACGGAAATGGCGATCGACGACGGGGCGCCCCGCCGTATCCCCGACCCCCACTACCGCCGCGAAACCCTCCGTGTGCGCCCCGGTCAGCCGCTCCACGGTTCGTACGTACCTCGAGCATCAACGTTTGCATCGCCTCGCGTAAGTCTTCGATCCCCGTTGAGATTCCCGTAAACCGTTCGTCCATTCCGTTAAAACGTTCATCCACCTGATGGAAACGTTCGTCTATGGCGTTTTCGAGTCCTCTCTTCGGCGGCATCGTTGATCGTTACTGGTCAGCTGATACCAACTGATGTAGAGCGTAAGTAAGAAATGGGAAGAACAAGCACAATTGCTAGAACAGATTTTTTTTTATTTTCAATCGATAAAACTGTTCTTCTTCTGCGCTGGAAGAGAACTTAATAATAACAAGAGTCCAACATTCCCTAACCTCTAATAAAAGACTAATAATTATTTAAAGTCCCAAAATAATAATAAGGTCAAGTAAAATAAAAACTAGTAATAAAAGCTAGATACGAAGACGATCGTATTTATTCAAAAACGCTATCGCGGTCTCGTCTCCATCAGAAAATTAAACCAATAATTGTGTGTACAGAGAAGTGTTTAATAATATATGATTTTTTTATACTTTGTATTTCTTTTCTTTTTTTCTATTATAATCAAATTATTAATTATTAAGGAAAAGTGTCTAAAATTAAGTTTAGAAAAAAGAGTTTGAGGAAATGACCCACCGTGCAGCGCACGGGTACTACACTAGTTAAACCCAAGTGAGGTTCTATTCCAAAACCAATTTGTGGAAAGAGGAGGGTCCACAAGGCTTATAAGCTATGCTTATTTTTTTTATGTATAAATGTTACAACTCACAAGTGATATTATATTGTAATACGCCCTCTCACTTGTAAGTCCTTCATAGGAGTGCAGTCTCACGCACTTAAAGACTGTATTTTGACAATATTTCATAATTATTAATAAATATTGTATTAAATATTAATAAAAGTTTTATTTAAAATATCGTAATAAAATCCAAAATAACTTTAAATTTTCATTATCACACCCATGTACTTTTGAACTTTTCACATCAAACCCGAAAGCTCACTCTACAAGCACCCGCCGGCCCAGAACACAGCTGAAACGGACCGGTCTTTCTGCAAGGTTGTTAACCCACTGAACGGTTTGAATAAAAGCTCGTTTGAGTTTGTTTGTTTGTTAATCGAGCTAAATAAAAATAGCAAATTAAGCACATTTAATAGTCGAACAAAACACGAGCTCATGAATGTTCGATAATATTTGTGATCATTAATTTTAATACAAATTTATTTTAGTTTTATATTTATATGTATGTCATTTTTAATATAAAAAATCCAAATATATATTTTTAAAATAAAAATCAAGTTATAGACTTCAAGTTAATCAAACAATTTTAAAAAACATACTTACTAAATTATTCAATGAAATAGGAATTCTAACAGAATTAAATGAACGAGCTCAAACACAATCTTTTTTGCTCGAAAAATCAATGAACAATATTCAAACATAACCGAACACCCTCGAAATGCCCAAGCTCGACTAGTACGCTTCGATTGCGGCCACCAGCCACCCAAATTGTTATCACATTCTATTCACGGATCATTATCTTCGAACCCAACTAGACTGCTGAAAATACCACTACAAACTACAAAGATTATATTATCTCATTCAGAAAATATTCCCAACAAAGAAGTCTGGTCCGATGTATACAGACGAACTCTTACAACCACTCTTATAAAATGCCACATGAAGAGATTACTTCAAAAGAACAACAAAAAAAAAGGCAAAAAATAAAATAAAAAATAGGACTGTTTATTATAATTACAAGGTCGTCCAAGTAACCGATTTTCGGTCAGAACTAGTCCTCCCGTTTTCGTGCTTCTGTTCACATGGCCGGAATATTATTTCTTTTCTCTATAATCATGATCCGTTTTGAGGCCCGGTGGGGAAATTAGGCCCGTTTCTTGATTCGGTATTGGATGGATTTTGTGTTCGTAAGTTTGAGAAGCAAGATACTTAAGTGCCGAAACAATGTCTGTAATCGCGGGCCGCAAGCTGGGCTGCTCTTGGATGCACATTGCTGATATGGCCAGCGCTTGGTATAGGCCTCTCATCGGGTACTGGCCTTCGAGATCCCGGTCGGCCATTTGGTGGAACTTTTTACGGTCCTTGAACAATGGTTTCGCCTGCAGATACTCGAACACAAATTAAAAAAAAAAAAAAGTAAATAAATAAGATAATATATGTTCTCGTTCGTCTAAGACTTGTACATAAAAGTGGCCAAGTCATTCATGAACTACTAACACGATATTGTCTCGATTCTACTTAGTATTGTTAAATTAAACTAGTCTGGTTCGGCTCGGCTCGAGTTCGACACAACTTGTTTGTAAAACGAACTACGAACTCGGCTCGTTATTAGTGATAAAACGAGCTGAGCTCGAGCTAAATTTGAGGCTCGTTTATTTAATGAGCTGAGCAGGCCTAATTCTACTTCACGATAAACATAAAAAGATACTAACCCACTCGACTAGATTTTGCTCGGGTCCATTCCTTCCGGTGTCGATAGCCCTCCGGCCAGTCACAATCTCCAAAAGCACCACACCGAAGCTGTAAATATCCGATTTGAACGTGAGTTGACCGGTCATAGCGTAATCGGGCGCACAGTATCCGTAAGTGCCCATCACTCTCGTCGAAACATGAGTCTCGTCACCCGACGGGCCCACCTTAGCAAGCCCGAAATCAGACAGCTTGGAGAAATACTTCTCCCCGAGCAAAATGTTCGAACACTTCAAATCACGGTATATGATTGGTGGTTCCATCTTATTGTGCAAATACTCTAACCCTTCGGCTGCCCCAGCCGCTATCTTAATCCTCGTGTTCCAATCGAGTTTCTTTTTATTGTGTCGAGGCCCTAAACATATAAGTTTAAATATATAACAAAAGGAAAAAAAAAAAAAGACAACTATAAAAAATCAAGAAATATATCGATTAGCTTGATCCTACCGTGCAAATGGTCCTCCAGAGAGCCTAACGGCATGTACTCGTAGACTAAAAGCCTCTGATCTCCCTCGGCACAATAACCGATTAGCTTGACGAGATTAGAGTGCTCGGCATTGCTTAATGTTGCGACCTCAACCACAAATTCTCTAATCCCTTGACATCCATTACGGTCTAATTGTTTGATAGCCACAATCTGCAACATAGACCAATGCAAAAAATTTCGAAAAACTAAATCGGTTAACCATAGAAAAACTAAATATGATAATTACATATATATATATATATAGAATAACTTGGTATATATATTTATACACATATATACACCCGACTGACCTCACCGGTGTCTTGCAATTGGCCTTTGTAAACTTTACCGAATCCTCCCTCGCCCAGAAAATAATCGGCCTTGAAATTCTCGGTGGCGGCGACTAATTCGACTAAGGAGAATTGCCTTGCGTTTTTAGCACTAAAACCATTAACTTCCACGTCAGGATTACGCTTCGGATTACAATCTCCCACAAAACTTGAAGCTTGAGGCTCATCTTTCACGGATTTCTGAGAGCTCGCTCTTAAATAATCTAAAGCAGCACAACACAAGAAAACCAAGAAAGAACAAAAAACTCTGAGAAACAAAAAGAAGAGAACAATGGCAAGCTTAATCCATATAGAGAGGATTATCACAAGCATTGGAATTTCTGTGAGAGCGATGTTATTGTTAGAAAATAGAAGAGGAGAAAAAAAAAAAAAA